TGGATGAACCTGGAAACCATCATTCTCAGCAAACTGACACAAGAGCAGAAAATCAAACACCGCATGTTCTCACTCACAAGCAGGTGTTGAACAATGAGAACACATGGACACAGGGAGGGGAGCACTACACACTGGGGTCTGTTGGGAAGAGGTGGGGGTGGGACAGTGGGGGGTGGGGAGTTGGGTAGAGATAGCATGGGGAGAAATGCCAGATATAGGTGAAGGGGAGGAAGGCAGCAAATCACACTGCCATGTGTGTACCTATGCAACAATCTTGCATGTTCTTCACATGTACTCCAAAACCTAAAATGCAATAAAAAAAATAATAATAATAATAAATGCTTGGAGAAAAAAATGTGGAGGAACTTAAAAGAAAGCCCAATGTAAACATTATCTTTCATTCATTCTGCTATCAATAACCCCTCTTTCCTCTTTCCCAAATGTAATAACATATGGAAATATACTTTCCAAAGCACAGTTCTACTTTGATTCCTTAAAGTTTTTTGCATTTTAAGTGCTTTCCTTTTTGCAATGTTGGGGACAAAGGAAGACAGGAATGTTAAGAGAACCAAATTCCAATTACCTTGGGAATTAATGTCTTAGAGGGAGTCACTGCCCTTTAATCAGTTGTAAAGAGACTTTCAACTGTTAATCAAGTCTGCTAATAGAGGCTCACATGTTCAATAGAAAATAGTAGGGCCAAGAGGGAAGTGCAATGAGAAAATGTAAGTAAACACAGTTAATGGTGGTAATGCATGCTAATAGGGCCATAATAATGAAAGCAACAGATCTTGACTGTACAAAATTCTATTTGATTCTCTCCAATCAGAAACTCAGTGGATGCTATGAATATAGTTCTTTTTCTTGGTTTAAAAACATTATAGTAACCAAAGAGAAATAAATAGTTCAGTATGACCACACTGATTCATATTAACTGGGCTAAGAGTCAACTTGTTTTAGCAGAGGCTGAATTATAAAATTACTTTTAAAATAAAGTTTGCAATAATACAGTCTTATACTAGTATAGCAGAATGTAACCCAGACGTTGTTTTGTAGCTGAATATGAGGCTAAAATTAGCACAGCAAAAATTTCTATCTTGGTTCCTCCCAAAGTACTTGAAAGTCCTGTAAGAATGTTTAATCCCTAAAGTATTTTAAGCATTTCTTTTTCAATTATACATTGTTTCTGAAGAAAGGGTTTATTACAGAAAAACCAAACATCTGCTCAGACCCCTTCACCAATAACTAATTCCTGATTGATGAAATCTAAATTCAATAAATCACACTATATTACAATAAACCTTTTGGAGCTTTATAATCTGGTGACATGAAGAGTATCTGCTCTAATTACCATCTTGTGACTAGCTCAATATGATTTCCATGAAGAGGCTGGCCTTTCTGAGTTGCTATCTAAAATTGTATGACATATTTGAAGTTCTCATAGTGAAAATAACAAATTTTAGTCTTATTTTCTTTACATGCTTTTTCTTGGCCTGTCCTTTCTTTCCTCTCAACCCATCATTATCATGGCTAAAAAGAACATCTCATCTCCAAATAACAGCAATTGTTAAAAATTAGATATTATAAGTATAGTAGGGGAGCTTACTAGGAGGATTTCCTTTATAAAAATATATTAAATAAAAATATAATCAACACAAATTACGCAAACAGAATTAGGATTTCTCTTCTACTGCCTTTTTTTGTTTGTTTGTTTTTGAGACAGAGTCTCACTCTGTCACCCAGGCTGGAGTACAGTGGCACCATCTCAGCTCACTGCAACCTCCGCCTCCCAGGTTCAAGAGATTCTCCTGACTCAACCTCCAGAGTAGCTGGGATTGCAGTTGTATGCCATCATGCCCAGCTAATTTTTTGTATTTTTAGCAGAGATGGGGTTTCACCATGTTAGCCAGGATGGTGTCGATCTCCTGACCTCATGATCCACCCACCTCAGCTTCCCAAAGTGCTGTGATTACAGATGTGAGCCACTGCGCCTGGCCTCTTCTACCACTTTCTACAAGCAGAGGAATAGCACCTATATTCCTCTTACAACCCCCAGTGTTTTAATACAGCTCAATAAATAAAGGAAACAATGTGGCATAATGAAAAGAAGGCTGACATGGGAGTCCAAAAAACCCATGCCACTTTTCAACAAGTAACTTAAACTTTCTAAGTCTCCATTTCCTCAACTGTGAAAGATAGATAATAACATCTATCTTTTAGGGATGTTTTAAGGATTAAAAATAATGCAAATAAAGCATCGGCAAACAAAAGGTACTGAATAAATGATACCTCTAATTATCACTAACAAAATATCACTTGGACAATTGAGAATGTATTTCACAATCTTACAGTTCTGAAAATAGGGGGCACAGGAGTGAGGCTTCATCAGATTCTAATGCCCTAGTTACTCCACCCTTATTTACTCTTCACTGATTAACTTTGTGATTTAGTAGCCTAATCTACTACCACCACTTCCAATTGCTCACCATCAATTTATTCCTTAACCCCTTTTACAGTATAAATTTGGGTCTCATCATCTACTCTCCATGACCTTATAAATGACAATTCTATCAGCTCTTTCTCTATGGCCATTCTTTTTCTGTAACCTGAAGCAAGTGTCTTCCTTTCTGAAACTCTACTTCTTGACCTCACTGACTTGAATATTCTGGTTCTATCACCCATGTAACCATTCTTCCAATTTTCTACATATCTCCAACAATCTATTCGAATTACACATTTTTAACTTTCCTTCTTCCCCCATCCACTTATTATTATTTTTTTTTAATGGAGTTTCGCTCTTGTCGCCCAGGCTGGAAAGTACAGTGGTGTGATTTCAGCTTACTGAAACCTCCACCTCCCAGGCTCGAGTGATTCTCCTGCCTCAGCCTCCTGAGTAGCTGGGATTACAGGTATGTGGCACCATGCCCAGCTAATTTTTTTTTAATATATATTTTTAGTGGAGATGGGGTTTCGCCATGTTGGTGAGGAAGGTCTTGAACTCCTGACCTCAGGTGATCTGCCTGCCTCAGCCTCCCAAAAGTGCTGGGATTACAGGCGTGAGCCACAGCCCCATACCCCATTTCTATAATATTTTCATCTTCCTCTCCATTTCCCTATCAGGACTCACTTGAAGTTTCATTATTTTCCAAAATAGTCTCTCCCTCTTCTTAACTACTAATGTGTGCACTGCTATGGGGGCTATTCGTCACCTTGTCCACTACTGTGACATCTACTGATTATCAAATCAACAGGAACCTTGAAATTTAGAACAAAAGACCATATATATGTCTGACAGGTTTAAGAGGTTCAGACTGTACCCACAGAAAGGGCATGGGGAGTGCAGTCTGGGTGTGTTGATTATAACCAAAACCCTAACTAAATTAATTAAATATTAATTTACATTTAAATGGGGGGAAGAGAAGAGTTCAAAAAGATAAGTATAGAGTTTACAATTGCTTTCCCAATTTAAGCACTTTTAAGGTTTACATTACTCTCCTAAATTTCCAAGCCTATACATCACTCAACATAAGAGTAAATATAAATATTCCAGTAACTAAAACCTAATTTTTATGGTACAGTTTAATAATGCATATACAATGTTTTCATTAAGTGAAGTACAAATGACTGAATAAATTCTGTGTGTTTATATGAGAAAGAAACTAACGTTTGTCAACTAATCAAAAGACTGTAAGAAAAAAATTAAAAAACAAAAAAAAGTTGTTTCCTATGATCCATGTTAGAGGAAGTAAAAAGAAGAAAAAAAAAATCTTTGTTCAAAAAAACACACACCAAACAAATATTATTTAACATTACTACTAAAAAGCTACCCTGATACAAGGCTCACAACAAAAGTAATTGAAACTAAAATGGAAAAGTACTGTATTTCCAAAATTCTTTGATCTCTTATATGTGATACACTTCACATAACATTCTTTACAAGGTACAAACAGGATTCAGGAATGCAAATTGATCTTGAACACTCAACAAATTAAAATGTGAATTATATTAAGTGCCTTATAAGAAAAACAATTTTAAGTTACCTGACCCTATTCCACCTCACTCCAAGATCACAGTATTTATTAAAATAGCAAAAGATACGACACATCAACACAGAACAGACCAGTGATAATTATAATAGGGTTACCAAAAATTAAAACTAAGTGAGCAAAGTGGAAGAATACTTAATGAGATGCTCGAATAAAATTATTAAATTTACTTCTCAGTAATATGGGGTGAAGAAAACGTCTTAATTAGGAAAAACATTAGGGTGCTGATTAGAAAACATGGGCTATTACATCAGATAGGAATTGAGTTTAAACTCTGTATACATTATAGACGGTGAACAACTGTCTTAACCTCTCAGTCTCAGTTTATCTGTAGAATAGAAATAATAATCCTTACCTTATAAAGCTATACAGGGATTAAATAAAATTAATTATGCAAAATACTTAGTACTTAAGCACATATTAAGATCTTTATAAATTGTATTCAGCCCAAAAAGATCAGACATTTTTAGAGCCAAACTATTTCAAATCTCCAAGGAAGAGATTAATTGCCAGAACATATACAAAGATGGAAAGCTTGTCTCTCAGTCTCTCTTTTTACGAGGCAAACATATTCAGAAATCAAAACCTTAAAAAGGTAATACAAAAGGAACACTAAAGATCAATCTCATATAGCAAATCAAATATAACACTACTTTAAAGAGATATACTATTATCAAGTTGCCTTTATCCCTAAGACAGCAATTGTTTGATGAAATCTACTTGGAAATCTTGTAACACAATTCATCAACTAGCATGTAAAAGAAGGAAAACTATATGATCATCTCAAGGTATATTAAAAGTGCATGTGATCAAACTGAATATCTATCTCAGTTCCCACTGAAAAGGCATAGAAAGCTATTTCTTTAACATACCATTAACAAAAATTTTGAAAACACAACTATGAAACCCTAAAGGCATTTCCATTTAAATGAGAAATAATCCAAGGATGCTCACTGTTCACCACTATAATATAACTCAACATTATTCTAGAAGTTCTGATCAATGTCCTAAGAAAATGAAACAAGAATTAAATTTTGGAAAGAAGACAAAATCATCATCATTTACAGATGCTATATAATTGAGTTACTACAAAACCCAATAAAAACCATCAGAATTAAGTTTCATAAGATGACCAATTAGAAAACAGCATATGAGAATCAGCAATCTTTCTATGTTCCATCAGGTACATCTAATATTCTTTATAAAATAATGAAAAAAGTTCTGTCCCCAATAGGATCAATAAGTTTTAAAATATCAAAAATAACACTTAATAATGGGCAGAACTCACATGAAGAAAACTACAAACTTTAAAATATGTGAAGAAAACTCAACACTACATCTTTGAGTCATAAAAGGTGACTTCAATAAAAGAAGATAACATTGTAGTAATAGAGATATTACAACTCTCCTGAGAAAATTAGGTCAGATATTCCAATGAGGTTCTTTTAGGATCTTAACTGCATTTAATGTAACATGAATAAAGAAATGTAAGAGAAATGGTGAAAATGTTTTGACAAAGACAATGATAGGGATTCACACAACTATTTAGCGAAGTACATTAAAAACTCACAATAATTAGGACAGTTTGGAATTACTAAAGCAAAAAAAAAAAAAGTAGCCCAGTGAAACTGAATAGAAAAACCTAGAAAAAGTAATGTATCCATATCTATAGATATACACATGATTTTGTATTTAAAACCTCTGAAAAAGATAACTGTTCAATAAATAGCATTAAAATAATTAAACCATCACCCTATGTTAAAATACATCGCAAACAGATGAAAGATGTAAATTTTTTTTTAACTGAGGAATTAATATAAGGAAATACAGGTGAATATTCATATAATTCGGGAATGCAAGGCCCTTCTAAGTAGGGAGGTATCATAAAAGAAAAATTTGATACGTTTAAGCACATTAAAATGTTAGCAATCTGTTTAAAAAGAAAATTCATATCGAAAAGAAAATTAAGATAAAAAATGACAAACTGGAGAAATGATCTACAACGTAATTTGACAAAGGCTTAATAGTTTGTATATACAAAGGGCTCTTATAACTTAGTTTTTAAAAATCTCCAATATTAAAATAGACAAAGGACACTAATAGATAATTCACAAAAGAAAAAAGTGTCTCTGGGTAGAAGCATTATAAGTGTTATTTACCATTTACGCTTTCCTGAATTTTTCAAATTTCCTACGATGATTATGCTTTATATTAGTAATTAAGAAAATAAAGAATGTTTACAATATGGCTGTAACTATAATAACAATAATATCCAAAATCATGCTAACATTGATATTTCCACTCTTGGGCTGCACCAAAATTAGGGATGTTTTCCCTTTCTAGAAAGAATCATACTTTAATTCTTCAATCACAATGAAAGAAATTTTCAGAACTATACAAGACAATCAGATAAAACTTTTCACTTCGTCTTTATGATCAAGTTACAATGCCAAATAATATTTGGATAAACTATTCTGTTTTCAACCTCCTTGGAAAGCTAAGAGTCAAGGCTGAGGAAGAAGCCCTGGACTTCAGAACCAGCAGGACTCAGATTTTACCTACATGCAAAACCTGAGCCAGGAATTAAAAAAAAAAACAAAAAAAAAAACAGGTGGTGATATTACCTTTCTCAAGATAAAAAATGTGAGCCTTTGAGAATTCCTTGTCTTCTCTTTTCTGTCTCATTTAGGAGACAGAGGAATGATTTTATCTTTAATGTATTTATAAGGAATATATCCAAAGCGCAAGCAAACAAGACTTCTTCTGAGCAAAGATACTTTAAACAGGAGATTTTCAAGTGCTAAATGTTCTTTTTCCTTAGTGCAGATACGCGGCCTAACTCTGAGAAGGCCAAAAAAGACTCTGGCAGGACTTCATTCTCAACGATAAGCAATAGTCAAACTGCTAATTCCATCTGCCCCCCTCCAAAAAACGACAAAGTGTTACATGATGATGCCAGAGATCTCAGGCTCCATTTAAGGAATTTTCCTGAGGGGCATTTATTTTCACAATATTAAAATGCTCTCTACTTCAAGTATTTCAGGGAACCAATTAGGATACTATATGCCAACTTTGATGACGATAACAAAGAAATAATACAGTCTTTAACATTATATTCTTAGAGATGTTGCTTCCAGAAATGTCTTCCTTTCTTACTAGTCAAAGCTCTGAATTCCATCCACTTCTATCTCCTCAGGGTCTTAGTTCCAAAAATTATCTCATCTTTCCAGAATTCCTTAAGAATCTCTTCCTACTTGTCTCTACTCTCACTTTCCTTATGCATGTAAACAAACAAACAGAACATTCCTTCAAACTATATACCTCTGCAGTGGTTTTCAACCATGCCTGCACACTGGAATTACTTCAGGAACTATAAAAAAAAGTATCAATGCAAGTAATCAATAGTTACAGAAAGTAAATAGTAGTTTCCCGGGGACAAGAGGAAAAGATTATAAAGGAACACAAGAAACTTTTGGAGGTGATGAATATTATTTTGATTATGGTGATGATTTTATAGGTATAAACATATATCAAATTGTATACTTTATATGTAGTGTATTATATGTCAATTACATTTCAATAGAAAAGCTGTTGAGATAAATATTGATATCTGGGTTCAAACCCCACCCCCACCAAATTGGTATAGGGTTCCCTCTGCAAAAGAAAATTATTTAAAGCTACTGAGATTATTGTAAACTATTATTACATTATTGTAAATGAATAGCCAAGGTTAAGAACCATTGCTCAATATAGCTATCATTTTCTACCTTCTTTATTTCAGTTTTCTTGAAAAGCCTCACTCAAGCATGTCTACTTTATCACACTGATTCTTTATCAATCTTCTGAAGACCGGTTCCTGAACCACCACTCAGTTTAAACTGTTCTTGTTAAAGTTACCTATGGACTCCTGACAAAGTGGTCACTGGGGCCCTCTCCTAATTTGATACCTCCCTACAGCATTCAAAGGTGTTAACCTGGTTCTCCTCCATTTGAAAATCTCTCTTTGGCATCTTTCCTGATGGTCCACCTGCCTTTCTAACTACTATTCCTCTACCTCTTTCAGACTATTATTCTCCATACTTCTGCTATTTATTCTGTTCTCTGGTTGCCACTCTCATCATGCTAAAGGCTTTCCCTGAGTCATTTCAACATAGCCAAATCAATATGGTTCAGTTCAACCCCCAATCTTCTCTCTAATCCTGACTTTCACATCTATAGATACAAACATCTATCTACATCTTCACCTGAAGTTCCACTGCTTCCTCAAATTCAAAACAGCCGAAACAGAATTTATCATCTTCCTTCCATTTATGTGTTCCTCATTTCTAATCAACAGAACCCCAAGTCAAACCCTCAGAGTCCTGGGTTCTCCTTTCCTCTCATAGGTGATTAAAACTTGTCAGTTTCTCCCTCACTCTGCCACAGCAAAGGTCTAAAATACAAATCCAATAAATGCCTTCTCATCTATCACCTTCAATCCAATCCCTTTAGCTAAAGATATCATCTCCTGATCTGGCCCTCTACCACCCTCACTGTCTTCATCTGGCAGCATTTCCCTACTGACCCCTGCATTCAAGCCATATCAATGTCAATGTTATTGACTTTGTCAACTGTCAATGTCTATTGACACTGACTTGTCATTGTCAATGACTTATTTAAATTGCCACAGTTTCTCAGGCCTCCTTGCTTCCTCATTTATTATATCCTCCTCTTGAGAAGTTACCTACCTCCTGCAGTTGGCAAAATTATATCATCCTTCTCAACCTGGCTGTGTGCTGCGAACTCCACCCACACTCAAGGCAAGTTAACCATCTTCTACTCTAAACTCTCCTACTACACTAGGCATATCTCTATTCCCACTGACTACATAATATTATAATTGTTACTTTACTGTAATGTGACTAACATTTTGTACATTAGATACTAAATTATTTGAAGACAAGAGCTATGACATTTATTTCTGTATCCCTAGTACCTACTCAGCCTGGAAGAGTGGAAAAATAAATTTATGTTTGACATAATTTCAATTATTTATAAAATACAAACTCGATATCCCAAAATAGATCTTGAATACTAAGATTTTTAAAAAATTCTTAAGATCCATTATAAAATAAATATTAGGAACAAAACAGTACATTTATCTAAACTCATTGTGCAAAAGACACCAGTCTAAAAAATACAACCCAGAGGAAATTTCATAAAACAGAAATACAACAAAGAAAGGAAGCAGAGCAAGGATAAACGCTGACCCAGCTAATGCCTCATCGGGTATCTGTATCCAGGTAGTGCTAATGCTGATGACTAAGAAGGTTTCTAATCCTTCTAATCACTCTGTGGTAATTTCAATAAATCGAATAAGGATAAACGAGTCAAATCCAGAATTTGTTTCCTAAATATGTGATGGTTTTCCCCTTACCACTTTGATTGAACTGATTATTTCAATAGCTGATTTTGAAGCTATTATTGGCCAAGCAGATCTTAAATGTTTTTCTTTCCTTGCCTTTGCCTGCACTTCAGAAATGTGGTGATTTACACTACTATTCATCCTGTAAACCTTAAAATGTATTCACCTAAAGAAAAAAAATGAGAAATATCGGGGGAGGTGGGGTGCCTGTGGATGTTAGCAGTAGAATGTTCTCACGGAAAACGAGCCTCCCAGTACTACTACATTGGCTCAAGGTTATACCAATCTTTCTGACTTTATGCCAATAAGATTTAAAAGCTGAAAATCTCAAGCTATAAAGTGTTACATGAACCAAAGAGGTGGCCCACTTGCTCCAAAAATTGTGTGACCCAAGGGTAAATAATTTGCAAAAGGGCAGCTTGGCTCTACTGCTGGTAGTGCAGTCTCTAAGGTAAGGAGTAGGTGACAGTGGAACAAACTCCCCCTATTTGAAGAGCGCCGCGGCTGCCAGGCTTGTGATAGTGTATTTCTCAGAGAGCATTTTTTGTGTAGTACTAAACCGCTTGGGCAAAATTAAAATCTTTCAGGAATGTCTCAACTCCCAAGGCACAAAGCACACATGTGCAAACTGACAGGCGGACACCCAATTTCGCTGAAGCGTACAAACTTGGTGTGTTTTAATGCAACAATTTTCAGCCAAACCCCGGAGGATTCCCTAGTTTTTTAAAATGAGCCTCGGGAGAGGAACACTCATAGAAAGAAGGGGCGAGGGCTCAAGAAGAGATCTTCAGCGTAGTAACCAAGGAAGGAAACGTAGCTGCTTTCTGAACCTCTCCGCCCTGCGGGGGACCAAAGACTCAGGCCAACACTGCTCTCCAAGGGGCGGGGGCGGGGGGTCCACAGTGACCATTGTGGCCACAAGACTGGACGGACAACGGCTGCCTCGCTGGAGCAGAGAGCGCGGGTGGGAGCGGAGGCAGAGGCCGGAGCATCCGCGGCGGCGGGGAGGGGACAGGAGGCTCCCGCCCCAGGCCCACCCCGCAGAGGTACGGCCAGTGGGGCCGAGGCGGCGGCACCCGGGTCACGCCAGGAGGCTGGACCGCTCCTCGCCGGGAAAGAGAGACCCGAGGCGCGCGCACAAAGCTGCCGCCCTCCGGGCAGCCGGCGGGCTGAGCCCAACTTCAGGGCAAGCAGCCGCCGGCCGCAGCCCACCCTCCCGTACGACGCCCCCCGCACCCAGCGCCGCCTCGCGCCCACCCGCGGTGCCTCGTGCGGGAGCCGTTACCCCCAGTGGAGCCGCCGCCCCGGGGACAAAGTCCCGGTCCTCTCCTCGCCGCCGCCTCGCCCCGGCTCCTCCCTGACAAAAAAGTTATCGGTCCCCGGCCGCCCTGGGGGCCCGGCGTGGGTCTCTCATATGGACTCACCAGAGCGGCTGCGGGACCTCCACCCGCAGGACCTCGACTCGTGAGGCTCCCAGCCACAGCGACGGCGGCTGCTCTGCTTCCTCCCGAGTAGCAGCACCACCTGCTCCCCTTCTTAGCAGAACGGGTCCGGGCGAGCCATCTTCCCCCTCCTCTCACTGACTGACAACCCTGCCTGGAGTGCCGCCACTGCCGCCAGCCTCTCTTGACAGGCACCACCAGGGACCCGTCCTCAGGCAGCCAACCACCACCGCCCCACGCCCGTTCAGCCTATCGCCGTCCTCCGGGGCGGGATCAGAACAACTTCTCCACCAATGATAGTCTTCTGCTGCGCCTGGGGCGGAGCCATGAGGCGCCTTGGGTGGGCGTGGTCTGAGCAATGGGCGTGATCGGAGCGCCGGAGGGAAGATGATTGACTGTAAGATTTGCAGTGGCCGCTAGGCGATGGCAATCAGTAAAGGTCTCTTAGATTTTGAGCTGTTAGGGCTTATGGCCTTCTCAGAAAAAATAAGCCTTACCGGGTGATGTGAAGTGTATCAATTTGTTTTTTATGAGAAAAGAGAAACAAATTGATAATTTACTAGTCAGTAGGATTTACTTCCCAGTAATTAAATTCACAAGAATTTATCAAACTCTTATCAAATCCGAGGAGGAAAAAAATTTACTTTTTTGCAAAACGGAAATAAAAACTTCCTCCTCACTACATCATTGCTTTTGGGCTTAGCCTGGAAATAGTCAAATACGATTCTCCAGTTTTCTTTCCATAGGGGTTGTTTATATTCTTGCCATCATTCCTGTCTACTTTTTCTCTGAACATATAGTAAATATTTTGTATAAGAACTGGAACCTGAGAACACCTGAACCTGCTCCTGCAGGCAGTCCTGCTGTTTTTGACCTTGTAAACTCCTCCTACCACATCCTTCTCAAGTCTGGTCAGGATTAATTAGAAGGAAAACCGACCTCCACCCTGGAAGACAGGAAGTCATTCTAGCTTTACACTAGAAATATGCAGAATTTCTCCAGAAACACTAAGTGTACTTTTCAAACATGCTGAATTCATAAATAACAAGCACACAAATAAGAAGATACATTACTTGATATCAAAAAAGCAAACAATGTCAGGTAATTATTAGGGCAGATTGCTAAAACAGACAGAATCCCCCCTCCAAAGAGAGGATCAGAGTTATAAGTAAACAATAATAAACTACAGTGATAAGGACAATAGAGATTGGTTCAATGAGCAATGGAAACAGAGGACAAGAAATGACTGTTTAGGAAAGTCAGCAAACTTCACAAGGAAGGTGATGTTTGAGTTGGATCTTAAAAGGTAAATAGGAGTTTGCCAGAGAAGAAAGTCAAAGGGCATTTCAGAAAGGACATCATGTTCAAAGGCATAGAACTGTGAAAGGGCACAGAGCCGTTTCAGAACATTGAGAAAGAAAATGGGGTTAAAAGATGAGGAACAGCCAGAGCTGTTGGCTAGAGCAATCTTTAGGCTAGAGCAAAAGACTGAGGTGAGATTGTAAAAGACCTCACAAGCTACACTAAGATATTCAGACCAGCAACATCCAGCAGAGCTTTCTGCAATGATGAAAATGTTCTATATTTGTGTTGTTCAAAATAGTAGCTATTAGCCACATGTGGCTATCAAGTACTTGAAACATGGTGTGAGTGAGGAACTCTATTTATTTTTGAGACAAGGTCTCACTCTGTTACCCAGACTGGGGTATATTACTCAAGCGATCCTCCCACCTCAGCCTCCCAAAGTGCTAGGATTACAGGCATGAACTACCATACCTGACTGTAACTCAATTTTTAATTTAAATTTTTTTTTTCTTTTTTTGAGGCAGAGGCTCCCTCTGTCACCCAGGCTGGAGTGCAGTGGTGGGATCTCAGCTCACTGCAACTGCCACCTCCTAGGTTCAAGCAACTCTCCTGCCTCAGCCTCCCCAGCAGCTGGGGTTACAGGCACCCACCACCACACTTGGCTACTTTTTGTATTTTTAGTAGAGACAGGGTTTTACCATATTGGCCAGGCTGGTCTCGAACTCCTGACCTCAGGTGATTCACCCGCCTCAGTCTCCCAAAGTGGTGGGATTACAAGCATTAATTTTTAAATTGAATTTTAACAGCCCCCATATTGGATAGCTAAGGTTTAGATTTTTTTCTAAAGGCAACAAGGAACCAACAGCAGCTTTTAATCATGTGGACAATGCAATCAGGTTTCTTTTAAATGGTGGAATCCAAAAAAAATAAATAGAAACAGGATGGAATATATGTTCTCTTTGAGGAAACTCTTGACAGATCAGACCAGGGTACTGGGGGAGGATTGACATAATTTAGGTCCCCTTGGCCAGAGCCTGTTTGGGACATGTGTTTACTCAAAGGAATAGGAACAGGAAGATCCAGGCAGCATGTTATTCATCTTAGAGAACATAAGCAGTCAAAAAGTTAAATTCTGCTGTCAAGTCCCATTGAATAGGAGAGTGAGGGACCAAGGAAGGAAATAAAGCCAGTCAGCTAGATCATAAGGTAGAAATAAGAGTGGGCAAGAGAGTGCACATGTGTGCATATGCGCGTGCATGCACACACACACACACCATCAGTTTTACTGGCCATTGGCCATGTGTGCCAGTGAAGTGTTGGCCTGATTTGAAGAGCCAAAGTGTCTGATGGCAGGAAGTCCAGCCAAGACCAGGAAAAGATTCCAGGAGAGAATCTTGAATCAAACCTGTGGAAGTCAGGATGGAAGGGAGGGGTAGATATTACTGACTTCCTGTACTGTACAAGGCACATGGCTTGTCAAGGATGTAGATGAGTGCTAGATGCTTGCTTACAGTATAGGTAGCTGGATAACAAACAGATGAAAAGTTAAGCAAAGATTAAAGTAATTAATGCAGGAGAGATTATGTAAGGCAGAACATAATTGATTCATTGTTCAAATGATTTTCTAGGCAATAACCACTGTGTGTTTTCAGAGGAGGTTGCAGGCATTGCAGTCAAGACGAGTCAGGGAAAGCTTCATGAAGGAGGTAAAGTGGGTTGGGTCTACAAAAATGGGGAGGAATTTGAATCAGATAAAATGTGCAAGGAAGTAACTCATAGAATGCCTGGAGAAATAACACAAGAGGGGAAGCACAAGCAATGCTGAGAGGGCATGGGAGGCAATTTGGGTCAGCCAAGCCTGGCAAGCTAGGTCGCAGACAGGTAACAGAGAACCTTGAAGGCAAGCTCAGTTGTTCAGATTTTCTCCTTTTGCCTTGTGGCTTCCTGTCTGCTCATAAGACTCACTTAGGATGCCTTTCAAAATTATTAGTACTGAAACCACACCCCACACTAAGTAAATCAAAAAATTGGGGGGTGAGGTTGGATATCGGATTTTTAAAAACTTCCCAAGTGGTTCTAATACGCACTCAAGGTTGAGAACAGGGGAATGATATAACATTTTACTAATGCCAAATCAGGGCTGTGCATAGGATAGATTGAGTGGAGAGAAACTGACATTTGGCTAGGTATATTTATATATAATTTGTTTCCTTCCTCCAAGAAGACAGGAAGCAGTTTACTGCCTGACTTCACTTCCCATTTTGCAGTGGTAAGATGGTATAGAAGGCAATTTAAGTTGTCTTCCTTCTAAGTCAAAGTAAAACCAAAGCACAAATTTATGTTTGCAGTCTACTCTTCTTTCCATCACAATTTGTGCATACAAAAATAATTTCTAACAATAACAGTCTGCAGTTACTGCAGTTAAGTTTTACACATAACCATTTATATTTTAATAGCAAAGCACCAAAAAAATGCCTAAGAGAACATTCTGTTTCAAAAGGAAAATGCTTTTAACCTACTTTATAAAAGTCAACATAGGCTGGGCGCGGTGGCTCAAGCCTGTAATCCCAGCACTTTGGGAGGCCGAGGCGGGTGGATCACGAGGTCAAGAGATCGAGACCATCCTGGTCAACATGGTGAAACCCCGTCTCTACTAAAAATACAAAAAATTAGCTGGGCATGGTGGTGCATGCCTGTAATCCCAGCTATTCAGGAGGCTGAGGCAGGAGAATTGCCTGAACCCAGGAGGCGGAGGTTGCGGTGAGCCGAGATCACACCATTGCACTCCAGCCTGAGTAACATGAGTGAAACTCCGTCTCAAAAAAAAAAAAAAAAAAAAAAGTCAACATATTCCAGATCTTTCCTACTCATCTTCGCTAGTCTCTGATATCCACATGCATAATCCTAAACTATTAAAATGTATTTACCTTCTTGCAAATAACTTTATAAAAGTGCCAGTTGAACATTATACACATAAACATTGTCCCTATGACGTTAAATTTCAGGAACTGTAAGAAAAATTCAGTTCAGGTATTTTTCCTTTTTTTTTTTTTTCTGAGACAGGGTCTCATTCCCAGGCAGTGGCACCATCTCAGCTCACTACAGCCTCCACCTCCTGGGTTCAAGCGATTCTTGTGCCTCAGCCTCCTGACTTGCTAGGGCTACTGGCGTGCGCCACCACACCTGACTAATTTTGGTATTTTTAGGTAGAAATAGGGTTTTACCATGTTGTCCAAGCTTGTCTCGAACACTTGGCCTCAAGTGATCTGCCCATTTTGGCCTCCC